TGGAATTGTGAGAGGACTTGAGACCTCCAAGTGGAGATGCTAACTGGGTAACTAGATATATGGGGCTCAGTCAGAGTAGAGTTCTTGGAAGGATGTGTGTATTTAAGACTGTTCAGCACATGCTTGCTAATGGAAGCTAAGGGCTTAGGTGTGAACAGCTAAGGAGAGAATATGGAGCGAAACTAAGAGAAAGCCTAGGATTAAGCCTTAAGGAACACCAACATTTAAATGTCCAAGTGAGCCTGAAGCAGAGACAGGAAGACAGCAACCAGAGTGGTAGGATAAATATCAAAAGTGAGGTATCAAGGATAGCAAAAGAACAGTATGTTCCAAGAAGGATAAGAATTTAGCAGTATGGAATGATGCTTGGAGGAAGATCAGACAAGATGGGGCCAGAATAATATTTATCTTTATCGAATTAATGAATATCTTCAAACACAATGGATAATAATAGGTCTGCTATTGAAAAACTTTGCATAAACATCTTATTTTTACTTTGTTTTTCATGTTCTACTCTTTTTTTTATTGTAACCTTCTTAAAAATTATAGATTAAAATTGAACTCAGCACACCACGTATGTTTCAATCAATGTAGTACCTACCCTTTGAGATACTAAATGGGATTTTTGAGACATATTGCTGTCAATATATTAAATTTTTTTCTAGCCTTCATTGAATTTTTTATTCATTTTGAGCCTGCAAATAGCCAACCTCCTACCCTTCCAGGATTTTCCTTAGGCATTTATTCGTGGGACTGGGATTCCCCATCCTGTACAAGTACACATGAGTTTTTTAAACCTAATTGTGGATTTTTTTGTATTTATTTCGTTTACTTCTCCTTCAGTCTAGCCCTATTATTATTATTATATCAGACTATTTAGAAAATTTTAAAATCTTAATTTTATCAGGCCCTTGATTCTATTAACACTTCTTTAACAAATTTGATTTAACATCTTCTAGTTTATATATCATTGATAAATTTTGAACAGGACAAAGCCATGGCCAATCCTTGAAGAACAATTTTAATGGCTTATTTCTGTATTGAGATTAATCCCTAATCCACCTAACCATAGTGTTAATTATAAGGATACCTTGCTCACATCAAGATATTGTGCCTACTGCGTGCACGTCACTGGCTGTTTTTAAAAATACCCATTGACTATTTGATATGGAGAATAGTTGGTCCATCTTTTGAAAGAGGTCTTTTTGGAACTCCATATTTATTTTTGACTTTTAATGAATTCTTTAATACTGATTAGATGGAAACAGAAATGGAACTTTTATAAATATTAAAGTTTTATTTGCTTTAAAGCATGCTTTAGTGATTAAATACTCTTTTTGTTGTTCAGCATTCTGTAACTAACCTGAGAAGTACGGATCAAGCAGAACACTAACATGACCAGAATTGTGTTTTACTTGGGAATAATGTTTTGTCTCTAACTCTTTGAGAAAACCCGTAACCCAAGTGTGTTTGTCATATTTATTCTGTGGATTCACAAACCCTCAGCATATCTCTGCATACCCCAGTTTGAGAATAGAGTTTTAGTTCTTACATCTTTTTTTAAACCAATTTTTATAGTATTTATAGTGTTATTTTCCTTGATATATTATTTAAAGATGTAGCATTACTTTATATTTTGTGTTTATGATGTAATGTCCATGATTCATTTGATATTGTGTTGGGAATATAGCATCCACTACAGCATTTTTCCTATTGGAATACAAATGACATAATTCAGAATACAGTGGAGAGTGGGGATTACCTTTCCTGAGAGATTTACAGACTACATTCATTTGTTAAAAGTGTTGTAAGAAACAAGGAAATCAGTCTGCACATGTTCTGAAATAATTTTTTGTCATCTCTGAAATGTAGTCTGTTGGTTTACTTTTTGACTGTTTCTGTTCACCATTTTAATTTGATGAAGAGTTTAATGAAAAAGTATTTATGATAGCAATACGAACTCGTAAGAACCTTTGTCTATTTAGAAGTACCTCAATAGATTTAAAAAATAGCTTTAACAACATCTACCAGGAAAAGGATCTTACCTGTCTATTCCTATTGTGTATCCTTTAAATCTCATTTGTTTAATTTATAGTCAGGATAGTGATACTTGCCTTTCTTTGTATGAGACCTGCGTTCTTTATTTCTTTTTTTCTTTTTTTTTTTTTGTTAACTCTGTAGTCAATGTCTGTTTCTGTACCCACAGATAACTTTTCCTCCCTCTTTTTTTCAGTTTGATAGCCCGGAACTTGTGTCAGTGCATAGAGCAGTGATCCAGACAGCTGTATCTTTACAAACAGTCACTCTCACTGCCAAATGAGTTTGTAGTGCAAATCTTGAACGAGAACTGCACCTGCTCTCAATGTGGATGGAAGTGCAAATGTTAGGGAAAGCTGAATTTTAGTATTGCTTTAAATCCGATGGCAGCTGATCTCAGAATTTTGCTGAGAACGTTTATCTTGGCCTTACGGTAGTCCTGCTATTCACAGCCAAGCAGCCTCTGTGTCCCTTTTGCTGGGTCTCAGGTGTGCTATTTTTAAGAACTAATGTGCTCTTTGTGCTGTGATCGTACAATTGGGATATTAACATTAGAAGTTGTCTTCAAAATATTATGGTGATTTCTTAAAATTATGTTGTGGACTAAAATTTTCAATTTGAATGCCTAATTTATCATGTGTGAACACTGAATTTCAGATTAAATAACCTTGAGTAGTTAAGACTATGTGTAAGGGTAACTTACATGAGATTATTTTCTTATGGAAGAAATGGCCTCAGTGTAAGAATTAACACATTCTTTGAGAGTTGATAGGATATGAAGGACATTTCATATTGTCTGTAGAGAGCATTTCCTACTACACTTTGTTTGGAGTGTGGGGGGAAAGTAACTATGTGGGTGTGTATGGCAGTTATCTTTTTTGAATTTGCTGGTTCTTTCATATCACCCTCAACATTAAGCCCAGGGCTTATGTCTAACTAACAACAATTCAGAACACTCAGTTATTACAGAAATTATATTTAATCTTTATCTTTCAACCCTAAGCAATTTTTTGTTACTTTTAGTATTTTAAGTCATTTTGATTCATAATTTAAAAATAGCTTCATTGATATGTAAGTCACATACCATACAATTCACCCATTTAAAGTGTCTAATTTGATGGTTGTTAGTACCGTATTTGCCGGCGTATAAGACGACTCGGCGTATAAGACGACCCCCTAACATTTCCACTCAAAATACAGAGTTTGTTATATGGTCGGCTGTGTGCGATTTTGCGAGTGTGGTAAAATCGCATAACAGCAAAATCGCATAACAGCCGAGCATACACCCAGCAGCGCTGCTGATGCCT